CTGAGAAGGCAACTCAGACTGGGCATGGTGGTATGTCCTGTAATCCCAGCGCTTGGGAGGCTAAAAACAGGAGGATCACTGCAAGTCTGATCTGTGCAATGACACCCTGTAGACTCTACTAAATACATTAAAAAACAAAACAACTTTACCGTTACTTGTTTTTTATGTCAACCATTCTGGATTGTGTCTCAAGGTCTTATATTTTTCTCTGATCTTGTCATCTATCTTTTTCAGTTCTTTGCACCTAGAAGATGCTTAGTAAATGTTGAATATTATTGAATTACAGTGCATACTCTTCTATCATGATGTGCACCTCTCAGCCCTATGATATGTTCTGTTACTGTTCCATGGAGGTGGCATGTGGTCCTGGCATTGTTCCTCTTGCCGTTTCCTTTCTCCCAGTAAGAACACCAATTCAGCCTCTTTCCTCTGTTGCTATCCTTGATTCCAGTTCTGCCTGTTCCTAGAGACCTTCACTGTTCGGTCTACTTCAGATTATTTTTACAGGCATTGTCAAGGGAGTATTTGAGCTACGTTAGCGTACTTATTGTTACCTTTTTATTTGTACTGTCTCATCTTGTGAGTTCAAATTCCTGAACCTGTGCAGATCTGACCATTAACAAACATGTTCAAGAAATTCAGCAAAATTTCTGAGAGAAATTTAGTGATAAGTTATCTAGAAAAGACTTTATTTAAAGTATTGTGGAATAGATTTAGGAGAAAACTTAGTACACAGAAAAACATGAAGTATTCTATGGGCCAACATGACTACATTGGAGTTGGAATTAATGAAGAGAAAACCTCATTCTGGGGGCCAAGTGCTCAGGGTTGGTTATAAGTAGAAAAAGCCCAGTGATGCAGCTCCTTTGTGTCTCTGCTTCTCTCAGCATATACACTTACACTGTTGGCCACAGGTGGACCGCCTACATTCTTGGTCTTAATATTTCCATGGTTTTGCTTCCCCTTAATGAATAGTTAACACTGGAAAATCTCTTTTATTAAATGAGTCTAGACCATGCATTTCTTGTTGGCATTTTATTTGGGGTTGTAATTAAGTCATCTGAACTGTGTGCTCTGGTTCTGGGGTGACTGATACTCTCAGCGGCTTCTCATTCACCAAATAGTGGTATAGTTATGAAAAGTAGTGAAAACTGTGGTAGTGGTGAAGCAGAAAGCTGCACTGGGCTTGCTTTTTAATAATAAATGACTTAATTTATTGTTTAACTTACACACCTGGATGTTCTGAAAGATTCTTTAAATAAATTATGGAAGATGTGTAAGGTTGGCTGTTCTTAAGCTTATTTTATATAAGAGGGAAATGAGTCAGAGAAGGGTTGAAGTTTTCTTTTTTTTTTTTTTTTTTTTTTTTTTGTGGAACCAGAGATTGAACTCAGGCCCTTGCACTTACCAGGGAAGTGCTTATTCCACTGAGCCATCTCCCCGGCCCCTGAAGTTTTCTTAAAGATCACATATTTAATACATAACATGCTACAATGAACTGTGAAAGGTAGGCACACTGTTTTGGTTACTGTTGTAGTTCGAACACTCAGAACAGTGACTGGTAATCAGTATTTGTTAAATGAACCTAATTCCTCTCTTTTTACTCTCTCTTGAACTCAACTTCAGATTTTAACTTTCATGATTGTATCAAAGCTACTGTCAGTGATATTATTAATTACTCATCATTGCTAACATCTAAGTCCACTTTCAATCTTTTCTAACTTGAGCTGTCTTTTTATTTTTACTTTTTTTTTGTCTTTTTGAGAGACAGGGTCTTGCTATGCAGTTCAGGCTGAACTTGAGAACCTTTTGTAGCCTTGGCTGGTCTTGAATTCTCAATGACAATCCTGCCTCAGCCTCCTGAGTGCTGGAATTACAAGCATGCACCACAATGCCCAGCTTCATACTCTGTTTTCTATCACTGTAACAGAATATCTGTGATGGCATGATCTATAAAGAATGGAGATTTAGAATCTTACATGTTTATATCTGGTAATTAGAACAACTAATTTGAAGATAACATCATGTAATATAGCAACCATTGTTGAATTCTTATTATTTTCTTTAGTGGAATCTTCTATCGTTTCTATTTTTTTCTATCATTTTTTAAAAATGTATTTAGTACAGAGTCTACAGAGTCTCACTATACAGATTAGACTCGTAATGATCCTCTTGTTTTCACCCTCCCAAGCACTGGGATTACAGGCATGCACCACCATGCCCAGTCTCATTCGCTGTCTCAGCGTGCCTCTGGGATGGGGCTGGCATGGCACACCAGGAGTTGAACCTGACTGCTGCACTCTGCCTAAGCAGGTGCTTTAATCCTCCAAGCTATCTGGCCAGCTCTATCGCTATTTTTTATTTTTTGAAAATAAAAAAATTAATGGCTAATGGACAAAACTAATCTGAGATAGCCTTATATTCCTCCAAGGTCCATATAGAAAGGTTTGAGTTCCAGGGTAGCATTATTGTGAGATGCTGTGGATTTTTAAGAAGTGAGAACTTATGGGATCTTCTGATTACTTGAATCTGTGGTTGCAAAAGGCAATGTCAGGATCATAGGCTGTCCTCTTTCTGGTTCCTGGCTCCTGCATACATCAGTGTGAAGTGTATTCCTATCATCAGATGTATCCTCGCCACAAGCACAAACAGATGATCTACTCACCCTTGGTTTCAACCTCCCAACAAGAAATAAACATTTGTTTTAAATTTTAAAAAAATGGAGGTTTATTTTGGCCCAGTTCTGGAAGTGGGGTGCACAAGATGAGGTGGCAACCTCTGATGAGGAGCGTGTACTTGATCATAACATAGTGCTTAGCTGAAGGCCAAATGAATGTGCACAGTGGAGCAAGGCATGGGGTGATCCAGCTATATGCAGCCTGCTTTGCTGGTAACTGATCTATTGCTCAAAGCATAAATTCACGCACATGGGAAAGGCATCCATCATTTTATAAGATTGAATCACTTCTTGAAGACCCCACCAACCAACACTGTTTTCTTTGGAGTCAGATTTTAACATTCATTTCTAAGTGAACAAACAGTATTTAAGCAGCAGCAGCAGCAGCAGCAGCAGCAGCAGCAGCAGCAGCAGCAGCAGCAGCAGCAGTAGCAGTATTTGACCCAGTTATTTTCCCCTTGCTTTGAAATTTTGTCCCGGCTTCCAAAGGCTCACATTCTTCTGTTTTCTCCTATGTCCTTATTCCCAGCCACTCCTCAGTCTGATGTTTCCTCTCATCCTGTCCTCCAATTCACCTCTTATTTATATTATTTTCTGTCTCCTACTTGTACTCATTTCTTGGGCCAGAGGTATAGCTCAGCAGCACAGCACCTGCCTGGCAAGTGCAAGGTCCTGAGTTCAGTTCCTGGCACAGGGAAAAAAGTACTCAGGTGCACTCATTTCTTTGATGATACCACTTAGTGCCTTGTCTTTAAATACAATTTAGATTCTAGTAGTTATCAATTTATATTTTTCTCCTGGAATTTTATGTTGGATGGTTAATAGGGTAAAACATATTCAAAGTTTAATATGTCCAAAATGACACTCCTAATATCTTAACTTTTCAACTTTTCTAGTTGGAAGGGTGTATCTAATTCACAAGAACTCTTCCAGTTGATCAGTCCAAAAAATTATGGCATCATCATTGACATCAAATCTCTAGCAAATCCTGTTAGCTCTCACTTTCAAATGCAGTCTGAGTCTGACCGCTTTTCATCTTTGTTGTTACTGTTCTGGATCAAACCAGCATCCTCTCCCAGGTTTTGTTATAATAATTTTCTAGCTAATCTCCTTGAGTCTGTCCTTGGTTTTTATACAGACTGTTCTTGGCATAGCAGCCAGAGAGACAAAAAAGGAAGAGAAAGAAAAAGAGTGCATTTTTGTTTACTCAGAGCACAAACCTATATTCTTAAAATTGATTTCATATATATATATATATATATATATATATATATATGAAAAACTATATGTTTTGAGCCTTTTTATTTGTTCCCCTCCTCGTCCTTCAATCCCTCTTCCTTTATTTACAAAAGATGTGTTTCCATCTATTCTCTTTTGTTAGAAACCTAAATTATTAAAACCTACTTTTTTCTACTCATTTCTTGCTTTTTATTCCAGCTAATATTTCAGACCTGCTCTCTCTCCCCAACCCTCAAGATCTTTGCATCTATTTTTTGTTTTTTCAGGAAGGCCCTTACAGGTTGCCATGACTTAAGTCTTGTGGGTTTTAGTATGGTTTTCAGGTCTTTACTAAGATGCACTGTTTCCTACAGTGTCTCCACACACATCTCTCATTCCTGCCTTCCCTTCCTGTCCCTCCCGTCAGGATTCTGTGCCTGCCTTTTTGCTTCGCTCCTCATGATACTTAATATCATTTGACATTCTTTGGATTTTACTCATTTATCCTGGTGCATGTGTATGTGTGTTTTAAATTTATTTATTCTTACTAGTTATAATTTTGGGGACTATAAGTTGCACAAGAATGGGGCTTTATTCATTTATCTATCTGTATTTATTCATTTGTTCTTCCCTAGAACAAATGAAACAGTGAATGAATCATAGATTAGAATTTCAGTTAAATTCTGTTTGACATCATAGCTAAACTAGGCTATCATTTGTTTTATGTATATGCTTTGTCTTATATAAACCCCTATGCCAACCTCATACCTAATCAAAGGATTTTGAGTCAACAGGATTCATAAATAAAATTATTATAGTTGGATGCATTTATTAAGCAGACTTATTAAATGACAGGTTAATCATTTAATAAGTAAACTTACAGTGATAAGAATATCTATTTCCTAAAAAAAAAAAAAAGAATATCTATTTCCTGCTGAAACTTATGTACATGCTGTGGCATGGCATATGCTTGTTTTCTTTTTTGGATATTTGTGTCAGGTGTGTGTGTATGTGTAATGCTACTACAACACTAGTCCTGTGTATTATACTACTATAAGTTATGGCATATATATGTATGTGGAAGTGACAATGTATTTTTTAACAGGTTATCAGAACACCACATGGAAGAGACTTCGACGACTCTTTGGAAAGGTGTGAAGAGTACTCGAGCCCAAGGTCGTGTGGCAAGCCCCAGCACTCAGCAAGGACCTTGCTCGTCCACTCAGCCCCCTCAACAATGCCAAAGCATTCTCCAAGCCCTGTGTTGAATAGAGCTTCTCTCAGGGAAAGGTAATGTGTAGTCTCTGTTTCTACAGACCAGGCTTTTATTAGCATTAGAAGTGGGAGGAAGCTGGTATGCGTGTGAATTAGGATGATTTTATTAGCACAGTATAGTTGAATTTTATTTATTTATTTTCTTTTTGGTGGTACCAGGGATCGAACTCAGGACCTTGAGCTTGCTAGGCAAGCACTTATTCCACTGAGCTATCTCCCTAGCCCATATAGTTGAATTTTAAAACTTACCTGAATTATTGCTTTTGTTCAATCTTTTTTTTCAAGAATATTCCTGAAAAAACAAAAAATAAAACAGGGATCAAACGCAGGTGGGCGCTTATGCCACTGAGCTATCTCTCTGGCCCTCTGTTTAGAATATATTACATATTACATAGATATTTTCCCTAGCCTAGTGAATGAGAAATGAGTTTATTAACCAGATATGTTAATATGTCTTTAAACATAATTAGTGTAGTCATTAAAAATGAAAACTAGAGTATGTGACAATCTTAGTAGATATTTAATATTTTCAGCATAACTTAAGTAAAGAAGTCACTGATGGCAAACATTTTGGAGGCAAGGCCCAAACTGCAACTCAGAACCCACGTACTTACTTCAGAGTGCCAACACTGCAATTAAACCTGAATACTGAGGTTGTAGTTTAGAAAAAACAACTCATACATATTAACATCTTTTGTCTTAAAAGAAAAACAAGTAACACATGTGCCATAGGTTCACAAGCACTGGGCTAGATTGTTCTTTTCAGCTAGTCAGAATGGTGGTTTATGCATTTCTGTCAGTAATGCCCAGTTTTCTCAAATGCCCTTCTCATTCCACCAAGCAAATCCTAATCGGGTAAAAATTATATTCCTCCCTTTAAAAATGTGATGACCAGGTACTTGTTATAATTTAAATATGAAAGAAATGATTTCTCTTCATATATTAAAGGCATCAAAGTAGGAAATTCCTTGTGTCTATTACAGATGCTAACATAAAAGTCAATATTTTGTCATAAATTATAATAAATCTTAATTATTTAAATAATTATGGAAATTGGAGAACCTAAGATACAGCTTGGAAGTCAGTCTGCCTTAGCCAATGTTATAAAAATGCCAAAGTAGACACGAAATTCCCACAACATCTTAGGGTCATCAGACATAATTAACAAAGATTCTGTTGACTATAAAAAGTGTATTAAATATTCAGCGCAAAACTGAGGCCTCAACCTAGAGTCAGTTTGAACAGTGCCGCTGGGATAGTGGTGGTACTTAATATCATTTGAGAAATTTGTTTCATTATTAGCTTTGTAAGCTTTTAAATGGATACATAGGAAGCATATACTGAGATGCAGACTTTTGATCAGCTTTGCTTCTGTGGTCCTGGTACACTGGAATCATGGGTGACTAAAGGGCTCTGGACTTGTTGGCATGGTGTGTACACATGCGGGTACAGACAGGCATGTACACACGTGCATAAACACATTAAAAATTCAAAAGAAACTCTTCAAGTTTTACTGTTAAAGTATGATAACTTGTATCTCAATGTCCGGGAGTATTCCTTGATTTACACAGCTGATTAAATGTTCAGGACTGTGGGGATAGCTCATGGACTGCGGGCAAAGCTCAGCAGCACAAGTGCCTGCCTGGCAAGCTCAGGGTCCTGAGTTTGATTCTCAGTACCAAAAAATAAATAAATGTTCAGACACATGTTGGGGCCATTTACTGTTTACCTATTTTTACATTAAATAACCCTTGTGTTTTTGTTAATTAAGTTCTCTTTCATACTTGTAGCTTTTCAACAATGTTTTAACCTATATTTTTATATGGTTTTAATAAATGCTGGTTTTCTTTTCTTTCTTTTTTTTTTTCTCTTTCACCCATATACCTCTCTAATTGTAAATCTACCACATAGCTCAGTATCAATGTTAGTGCTGTGTTACTGTATCCATATACACAGTTATGTTCTAGCTTTTGACTCCTGTTCATTCCAGGTTGATAAATTCTTCATTGAGGCGATATTAAAAAATTCTTTCAGAATAAAGTTAGGTAGCCCTTTCCTCATATTTCCAGGCAGGGGATAATAGAGTTGGTAGCAGCAGTTACATCTTCTTTTCATGCTGGATATGAAATATCATTGTTTGTTAAAATGAGATGATTGCTTTTATATTAAAAATTACCTATTTTGCCTATTACTTGAGGAGGTTAAATACTTTTAAAATAAAGGAATATAATGGTAATATAAGCTCATCTAAATTAATTGCAATTTAATTGGTGTATTCTCTAGGATGACAGGCATGCCAAAATTGTTTAGTTTCCTTAAGGTAGAAGCTCCTTATTTTGAGTATGTTTTTCAAAATATATAGCCTATAAAGGAAAATAAAATATCCTTAAGACTTATCACTAGAAATATAAACATTAGTCTTTTCAGCACTCAGTACTACATTTTTAAATATAAGACATTCCCTGCTCTGATAATTTTAGATCACTGAGGAGTATACTTATATGGTGTTTATACAACCCATTGAGCTCAGTAAATAGTTTAAACTGATGTAAACGTAGATTATATTTCCCAGGGAAAATTGGAAAAAACCCAGGAAGCTTATGACAGAACATACAGCTATAGGAGTTTATCTGAGTAAAATATCCCTTTAAGAGTACAGTAAAATACTGACTCTGGAATTACATCCATGAATAAATAGATTTTTAAAAGTTTATCAGCAGCTTTATGAAGATTAATTTTTCTTTTTTTGAGACATAGATGCTATGTAGCCCAAGCTGGCCTCGAACTCACAAGCAATCCTCCTGTCTCAACCTTTCCCTAGTGCTAGGATTATAAGCATGGCTGGCTAGCTAATTTATTTATTTTTATACTAAAGGTGCTTTCTGCTTTGAGTTCATTTTAAACATACCACCAGCCAGGTGTGGTGGTACATACCTGTATCCTAACACTCAGGAGGCTGATGTTGTAGGATCATTGTGAGTTCCAGGCCAGTCGGGGCTACACAGTGAGTTCAAGGTCATCTTGGACTGTGTAGCAAGACCCTGTCTGAACAAACCCAACAAAATAAAAGATAAAGCTCAAATAAAGGGACCACACCAATAAAATGGTTTAATTTTGTGTTTAGGAGTACTTTTTTCTCAAATCATAAATATTAATGTAAAATTTGCATTAGAACTACAACTATGGCTTATACTTAAAACTACTCCCATATCTAGTTTACAAGGGTTGATATTCTTGTGAATCATGCCTAAAGTTGTGACTGTTGTAAAAGGAGTTAAAGATTGATAGGTAAACATTCCTTGTACCACACACAGACTAGTGGATCCCCTAATAGTATTATTGAAGAGACTTACTAAAAACTTCATGGCTGAACCTTAGGTTCCCAAGATGTGCTGCATACATTGCAAAGAACAGATCTTTCCATCTTTGCGTGGGTACAGAATAACTTGCTGTTGTCCAATAGGAGGTTAAGTTTTAGATATAACTGATTTTCCTTTATTCCTTGTGTTCTTTAAAATAGATCATATAAACCTTTTATTCTGCTGAATTATTTAAACATTGTGTAACAGTAACTTTGTGAGAACAAGTTCCAAGAAGAAAGGAAAGATTTAAGTAATGATACCTTTTTATCTATTTAAAAGGCATTATCAATAACATTTGATATAGATGCATTATAATTGGATAGATCTGGAAATTTTCATTATTACTTCTGTAAAACAGAATAACTTAATTATACTAATGCCAATTTTGAATGTAAGAAGGACAAAGTAAAAAGGAATGGATACTTTTTTTCTACTTTGAGGTCTTTAAGTCCAACCTGCAGATTTCCATAAAATCATTTTTCTTAGCTATATTTAAATATTTCTTTCTTTTTAATATACAGTTCTCTAATAGCAAAGACCATAGATATGATGTCACCTGTATTGAGAAGAAACCACAATGTTCATGTATAGGAAAATGATTTGACTCTACATGTTATATATTTTTTATTCTATTTCATAAAATAAGGACTTTTTAAATATATTAGGAAAGGTATTTTTTCATATAGTATAAGAGAGTTTGATCAAATTGTTAGAGAATAAACACAAATGTTAAGGATATTATGTATGGGATTATTCTGCTATGAAAATCTATGTCATTATTGGAAATAAAGCTAAAGATTTACATAGGAAATAATTTAAATGATCAGTATATAGATACTTACACAAGCCCCAAATGCATGTCCACTTAATTATTAAACTATTGAGCACATAATGCAGACTTAATAGAATAGCTGAGAATCAGTACCTGACTTTATGTCCTTCCCTGCCCTTTGGTCAAAGGAAGAAAATATGTTACTTTAGTCTTAGTTTATCATATGGGGATAATAATGACTTTTTGTGCCTGGTATTTGGAATTTCAGATTAAGTTGTGTTTCTTGCCTTCTGTCAGGTCACTTTTGTTTTTTATGCCTGCAGATTCCATTCTGATTGGTGTTCACCTTCCAACTGTGAGGAGATCCATGACCGGGTAAAGAATGTCTTGAAATCACATCAGGCTCATCCAAGACATTTATATGTTAGTTTCTAAACTTTTTCTCTTAAAAGCTTTTGATTAATATGACATACTACTGACTTCTTTTAGATCATTGAGAAAAACTGTGCTCATATTGTTTGATCAATTATTTATAATTGATCAATTATCTGAGCATCTAATTTTAAGATAACAATACACAATATATTAACTGTTCATAGCTGTTCAATATATTAGCTATCATCTTGTTTTGACATTCTGTATTATTATTTTTTTCTTTTCCTTTTTTATTTCTTAAAAATCAGTTTTTAAAAATATACACAAAAAAACTCAAGAAGAGATGTCAATATTATATATATAATATATATATTATATATATATATAAATTGATTTGATAGGATCTTCAAACAAAAGAATGAATGAGAAAAAGGAAAGAAAGAAAGGAAACCAAAAAATTTAAGCCCAGATGGTTTCCTCTGATGAATTCTGCTAAAATTTAAAGGAAAAAAAAATTACCAGTCTTACGTGTTCCTGAAAATAGGAGAACTTCTTCAGTGTTTTCTTTGGGCAGTGTATGTGCTGATGCTAAAACCAGATGGTTATTTACAAGGCAGGGTACAATTCAGTATGTCTCATGAACACATGCACAGAAATCATTGAAAGCTTAGGAGAAATTCAAACCCAGTTGTATATAAATATAAAGATACATTGCAAAGGAATTTCTTCTAAAAATGTAGTATAATTTCATTCTATTAACAGATTAAGAAAAAGGTATTTCTTCTCTATATAGTTTCAATAGATCCAGAAAAGACACTAATAAGATTCTACTCTATTCAGGATAAATATTCTCAGTAAAGTAAGAATAGAATTTTTGAACATCTACAAAATTTGTAGCCACCTATATTTAATAAATAATTAGAATAATGAGCTTTTAATGATGCTAGTCAGGAAGACAAATCTATTGATTTAGCACTCTAATTAATTGTTAAATTATGCTTGATAGATGAAAGATATAGATTCCAAAAGTTATATATTATATTGTTTATATAATACTAAAATAGCAGAAGTGGAGAAAGGTAGAATAGAGGTCAACTCTAGAAGAGACCAGCCTTATGAAGGGACGCTATAGGTTGATAAAACTGTTCTGATTGGTTACTAGAGTAATTTAAACATAACTTGTATTTGTCAGAACCCATAGAGATGTACATCTAAAAAAGTCAACTTTATGAAAATTAAAAACAAAAACCTCAAGCAACATATGGAACCCAAGGAATTAATTAAGGTTACAATAAACTTAATGATATTAAAAACCTAATAGGTATCTTTACATTAACTTAGTAAATTAGTTTGGAAGATGGTGTTTTACTAGATGCAGTAAGGCTAAAGGCTGAAAGAACTGTATAACAACTATATTATAGTTAAGGTTTCATTCTTTTTCTGTAAAGAGCTAAATAGGTATTTGTAATATTGTTAGGCCATTGGACTCCTGTTTTGCATTTTTAGCAAAATAATGTATAAAAACATAATATATAAAAACATTAGAATGACTTTCAATAAAATTTTATGTGCACTAACATGTGAATTTTATGTAATTTTCATATAATCTCTTTCATTTGGTCCCATATATTTAAAAATGTAATGAGTATACTTCACTCTGAGGCCATACCAAAACAGGCTAAAGGCTGCACTTGTTTTGGGATTCTGCTTATCCTTGCTCTAGATGATAAATGTGTTTTATTCAGGAATATGAACTAGCAGTTACGAAGTTACTTTTTATGTTTTTCAGAATTGAGACAAACAGATTTCTCATTGTCAGAAAAGAAAGTTAAAAAGAAACTACAGTAAAGACTAAAATTAGCTCTATAATAGTAGATTGGAGTATAAGATATTTTAAATTTGTGCTTACTTTTAATATATATTTCAAATGTAGGCATGAGTACATACAGATTAGTTCACAACTTTCCAATGACAGACCAATAGTAAGCAGTACCTTCTTTTGTTTTTAGAATTCTCAAATTTAATGAGTTTTTAAAATTTTTATTTTTATTTTGTTACTACATGTTTACAGTACATTCAATATCGCAAGTTGGTAAGTGTACCTAACACAGAATTATTTCCACATCCCCTAATCTTTCCACTTGTAAATGTGTTTTTGTTTCCTTACCTATTGAAGCTTATGTCTTATTTATTTCACTTTGCTCAAAGTGTATTTGTTTTCCTATGTATGACTCAAATCTATCCTTCCTTATAACAGATTAGAACTCCTTTGTGTATAAGCACCAGATATTTTTATCCATTCAAGTGTTGATGGACATATACATAGGTTTGCTTCCAACATTTACATTTTATGCTTTGTGCTCCTGTAAACATGGGTGTTCTTGTACTGTTGTTATATAGTGTCTTTGATTCTTTCTGGAAGATACCTGGAGATATAGCTGAGTTGAATTTCTGTTTCTAAATTTTTTTGAGGAATTTCCACACTTATTTCCATAGTGATTGTACAAGTTTTTGTTCCCACCAATTTGTAAATAATTCTTTTTTTCACACAATGTTGCCTTGGCCAGCATTTGTCATTTTTTAAGTTCTTGATGATAGGCATTCTTTCTGGAGTAAAATGCAATTTCAGTGTTGTTTTACTTTGCATTTCTCTAGTGGCCAGAGATGTCAAACATATTTTTATGTAATATTACCATTTTTACTTCTTTTGAGAAGTGTCTGTTCATTTCGGTTACTCATTTTTGGATTGGATATTTTATCTTGGGGTCAAATTTTTGAGTTATTTATATATTCCGATATTAGATCTTTCTCTGAGGAAAAGGTGGCCAAAAGGTTGTCTCTGAACTGTGCTGGTTATTTTCTTTGCTGCACAGAAACTTTTTAATTTGGTGTAACACCATATGTTGATATATTACGTTATTTCTTGTACTATTGGGTACCATACAAAAAGTCCTTGCATATAATTGTCTTCAAGAGTTTTACCTGTTTTATCTTCCAGCAGATTGTCTTTATATTTTAATAGATTCTGGATCCATTTTGATTTTAGTTTAGTATGTGATGATAGATATGGGTCTAGACTGAATCTTCTCCATATGTGTAACCATTTTTCCAGTGCCATTTCTTCCAACATATACTTTTGACCTCTGTCTCAAAAATCAGCTGGCTGAATATAGCTGGGGCTGGTCCTATACCTGTCTCTTCATAGAATTTGAAATCTGGGATTATAGTGCTTCTTGCTCTGCTCTTATCATTCAGGATTGGTTTGAAATTCTGAGTCTCTTCTGGTTCTATATAAATTTTTAGGATGGATTTTGTTTTTTTCTAATTCTGTGAGGAATGCCTTTGGTATTTTGACTGAGATTGCATTACATCTCTACATCAGTTTTGGAATTATGGCCATTTCTGTAATATTGGTTCTGCCTATCCAAGAACAGGTGAGATCTTTCAATTTTATGATGTCTTCTTTGATTTCCTTTTAGACAGTACTGTAGGTTTTTTTTAAATAGACTTGTTTCATTTCTTTTGTTGAGTAACTCCTGAGTATTTAATTTCTTAAAGCTAATATGAGTGGATTGCTTTCCTAATTTCTTCTCAGTAGGTTTATTACTGTTATACAGAAAAACTACTGATTTTTGTGTGTTGGTTGTCTTTGTTGTTACCTTGCTGGATTTGTTCCTAAGCTCTTGAAGTCTATTCATGGAATTTTTAAATTCTTCTATAGAAAGGATCATGTTATATGTGAATAAGGATAATTTGATTTTCTCCTTTCCATATATTCCATATATTTTCTCTTTCTTTCTTTCTTTCTTTCTTTCTTTCTTTCTTTCTTTCTTTCTTTCTTTCTTTCTTTTTTTTTGTATTGCTTGACTTGTCTGGATAAGCTTTGAATACTATATTGTACAAGTGGTGATAGAGGACATGTTCTTATCTTGTTCTTGATTTTTGAAAAAAAAGCCTTCAGTTTTCCCATTTTATATGTTGGGAATAACTTTGTCATAAATAGCTTTTATTATACCTGTTTTCTTCAAAGTATTTTTAAAAATCAATGTGGAATTTTGTCAGAGGCTTTTCCTGCACTATCAAGATGACCATGTGGTTATTGTCCTTGCTTTTTTTTTATTTTATTTTTTATTTCCAAGCATTTTATTGAGGACCATACATTTAGTGTTTATTAAAGAAATCAGCCTGTATTTTTCTTTTTTGTTTAGTCCTTGTCTGTTTTTAAACTCAAATTAATGTGAATGTCGAGGAATGAGTTTGGAATCCAAGGCTCCTTTACATTTTATTTCATTAAAGAGCTTGAAAGGAATGTTGGTATTAGGTCGTCCATGAAGATTTGTTTTCTAGAACTTAATGTTGAGGGCCAGGGATATATCTCAGAACTATAGCTCCTGCCTGGCAAGCACATAGTTGTGAGTTTGATTCTAGTACTGAAAAAAAAAAAGAATTTATTGTTTAATTTTTAAAGAATGTATTAGAATTTAGATCTTGGGCTTTACTTAGTTGGTAGTTTTCTGTTGCCTCAATTTCATTGCTTATTCTTGGATTTTTCAGGCATTTTGTGTCTTCTTGGTTCAGTTTTTATAGTGCATATTTATCTAGGAACCTATTAATTTATTCTCTATTCTACAATTTTTAGATATTCAGTTTTGAAGTATTTACTAATATTTTGGGATTTGGGTAATATCTGTTGTGATCTACATATGTTTAAGAAAATTAAAGTATTATAAAAACCGGGTGACTTCAACAAAGTCCTTTTGCAATCACATCTAAATGTCAGGCTCTGGTATCTTACATCAAAATTAAGAGAGTGCACATGACCTAATATGATTGGCCTGCCAATGTGTTGTGACTCTTGGTGCAGCCTTACAGCTTCCAGCCCCCTTAGGATTTCGGCCCTTCTGTCATAAGACTCTAGTATGTTCTTTAGTGTGTGTCCCCCTGACATGAATGTGCCAAGGTTTACTTGTTTTGTTTTCCTGGTCTGAAAATTTCTTTAGACTTTGAACATCCTTGTTCTGATTATGGAATTCTAAGTTGGCATTTAT